GCAGTTTCACAATCTCCCAGGCTATACAACTACAGTGGCTTCAAAAGAATACACGAATGTATCTTTTGTTCGAAGAAACCAGAGATGCTCAGGATCGTGAGTTCTCATTTCAATTTTGTTTATGCATTTGTTTTATACTTATTTAACTTGTTTTCTTTTCAGGTATAAGGATCTTGCTATTGTCCACTATCGATGGGTGAAGAAAGTCAATGATGAAAAAGAAGTTGACAATGAAGAGCCAAAGGTAAAAACTTGTTATTACGGTTTTATGCTAAATTTAAGTTAATGAACTTCTTTGTTTTGATTAGAGCGAATCCAAATTGCTGGAGGGGCCCGCGAAACAGAGAGCAAGATTGGCTCAAGAATGGCGAGAAGAGGAGGCAAGAAGGACACTACACTTGTCAAATCTTTGCTTTAACGTGTCAGAAAATGATATGTAAGCTTAGTTATTTCAATTATATTGTTTGTTTCTGATTCTTTGCTAATGTATATTTTTTAATGCAGAGCAAAGTTCTTTGATGGAGTTGGTCACATACGTGACATTCGGATGACTATGCGCAAAGATGGAATATTCAAAAGCTATGCCTTTGTTGAATTTGACTCGGCTGAATCAGCTCAGGATGCAATGAAGCTGCACCATAAGCCGATGCTGAATCGTCCAGTTCATCTTGCCCGTGCCTATCCGAGAGGTCCTAGCGCTGGTGTTCATTACTGACAATCCGTGTGGACGTGGGGTGAAGCATATACTAACTTTTACTAACTTGGTTTAAGATATAATAAGTTGCATAATATTTGAGTTTTTGTATTGAAAACTGTGTGTTGTCCAAAAAAAAAAAAAAAACTTGTCCAAAAATATATATACATATTGAAAAATGTGTGTTATTGTGTTTACTCCAGTAAAGTTTATTATCTATTTGTTTTACTATAACATTTGTGATAAATACATAATATCTTTTGCACCAACCAAAACACAAACTTCTGATGTTCATTTCAACTTACATCATCAATGCTGCTTGCTTCCAAGATGCACTATTGTTGACAAGGGGAAAATTTGTGTTAAGAGATTGCAACTTCTTTAGAGCATTCAACTCCATAGATTCACCAATGCTAAGTCCGAAGAACTAAATCAATTTAAGAAAGAAGACAACATAATCAGCCAACAATTTCATCTTAGGTCCATTGAAGGGAATCACACAATAAACACTAAAAGCAAAGCACAATGAAAGGGATTTGCTCGGACAAGTTTGATTCAAACAGAAACGTTCTTGTTTCGATTTTGATACCAAACACAAACAGTCCTCGCCTTGTCTCTCATTGGGAGATTAACACGTGTGGCAGGCCTAAAGTACCCCCTATATATTAGAAATTAAATGAGAGAGCAAGCGGTAAGATTAGTTTTGAGAAGGTTTGAGCTTTCACAAAGGATAATATTGGAAGCAAATCAGAGCAAGCGGTAAGATTGAAATTGGTTTTGGTATGTATGGCCATTGAGAGATGAAACATAATGAAGCCCAAAGTTTTTTTAAAGAGCCAATTTGTAAATGTGTGCGTGTGACTACAGTATCATATATACTAATACTTTCAATATATATTTTGTTTATAATAAGTTCATATATTTTCTGGTTGAAACTATTGTAGGTTAATATCCACGAAGCGTGGTCATTATTATTCTATCTACTAACTTAGATACTGTATATACAAATACATTAAAGGGAGTACAAAATTAAATTGTCATTTTTACATCATAAACCATTTTCCAACCCAAACTTACTAACAAATAACAAAATAGTGTAATAATATATTTGTATATTTGTAATATTTCAAAAACTAACATTTTATTTATAGAAAAGATTTAGAAAACAGTGAATGAAGGTCATCATCATCTATATATATGTTAAATCCTTCTAATATTTATTTCTAATAATTAAATATAATTATAAATATTTTAAAATGAAAAAATCATTGTTAATAAATTAAATATATAAAATAAATGAAAATGAACATGAAAGGCTATTTGTCTTCTTTAATAACGTAAATATATAAAAATAATGAATATGAAAAGCTATTTGTCATTTTGATTTCATAATACAATAATTTTTCAACACAATTTAGTCAAATTTCATATACAAATAGAGATACTTACATTTTTTCATATTTTAAAGTTAAAAATTTTCTTAGAAGGAGAGGGTAGGTTAGAAAATATTGTTTAATCCAAATTTATAGTAAGTATTTTTATGTTTTTTGTCATCAGTAAGTATTGTTATGTTTATTAATAACAAATCTAAATCTAATAATAAAATAAGACTTTATGTTTATTAATAATAAATCTTAAAGCTATTTCTATATTGTGTTTTACCGTCTGAGGAAGCTAACATTATGTTTTTTGCCCATGGTGGAAAGGTTTACTCTCTAATTTAGCTACGGAAAAAGACCATTATTGAACAACATATGTTATGTTTATTAGATAACTAGGGTAAATCCGCCCTACGGGCGGGGAAATAAATATAAAACTTTTTGATGTTTGATTTATTTTAATTAAAAGTAGCATTACCATTTATAATTCTTTTACTACAATTTTAACCATTTATTTTACTACACACCCTTTAAAATATAATTATTTACTATTTAAATATTTATTTTAGTTTAACTATAACAATAAATCAGTATATCTTCTTAAAGTTACAGAGACTTGAGTTATTAGTAGAGTATAATTATTTTTGTTCTCAGTTATATATTGTTTAATAAATTAAATTATTTTTATAAATTTTTGTTAAAACTTGATAAAAAAATATTTTTTTCCTTATAGCCAAAAATATTTTAAGATAAATAAACAAATATTATGAAACTGATCATAATGATTGTTTAGACAAGATTTGTTAACTTTCTTTTTTTTTTTGTTGCGTGCAGCATCCTGATTTAGTTTGGAACTTAAGTTGTTGTCTTCTCATATCTCTACCTCAGCGATTAGGATAAAATCTCTACAATTCATCTGTTTGGAAGATCATTTTCTTTTTATAACTTATTCATTATAACTAAAAATATTTTAAGATAGATATAGATAATATGAAACTATCATTGCTATTTACACATATACATGTTTGTTAGAAGCTTATAGGTATTATTATATATCAAATATTTGATTAAAATTTTGAAATAAAATATTTTTGACTAACTTATAAATCCCTAACAATAACTTTACTATACATAATTAAATTATTTTTATATTGACTACTGATTGTAGTTTATTGTTGAATTAAATTATTGATCTATAAAAAAGTGCTATTTACAACCTATCTGAGAAAGGAGCTTATGCTAAGCAAGCTAGCCAGCTTGTGATCGTGCGTGTACTTGAGAGAGAATTTGTTTTTTTCATAACCTTATCGACTTTTCTCTTCTTTTGATCTATTGTTGTCCAAACTTTTTGATGTCTCCTTTTGATCTATTGTTGTCCAAACTTGTTGATGTCTCCTAGCATTCCTCTCTCCAGACATGATAGATTATAGTTGAAAACAACATTTCGGCCAAAACAGTATCTAAACTATGAGTCCAAGTGCCTCTCAAGTGCTGAATAGTCCACTGTTAATCCGGATTGATGCCTACATGTAGATGTAAATTATTTATTTTGTTAATTAGATATCTATATATGTTGCATACATGTAGTAGATGTAGATGAGGAAGACGTTTGGTATTGGATTATATTTATTCAAAGTAAATTCTTATTTGAAAAGTTGAGAAATATAAATTTATTATATTTTATTTTGTTAGGATTTTTGATGGAAATGCTAAGCGATTATTGAAGGGGAAGCGGAGTCTCATCCGGGTTCACAACATCCGCAGCCTAGTAACCAATGTTTTATTGAAAGTGTATTAGAACATGAAATGAGAAAACCTGAGCATCAAGAAGAATCATGTCCACCCCCACCAACTCTAATCTCAGCAGCCTTCACTTCCACGGTGGAAGAAGGGTGGCCGGCCTTCAAATCACGGAGAAGAACAAATGAGTTAGCCATAATACTGCAATTAAGTTTTTGAGATTATCGAAACTGTGAGGATGATGTTCGAAGAACAAAGTATTACCTATTTATAAATGACGGAATACCGCCTTTTACAGGGAATTTCATTGAATGAGAGCATCGTGCTTGAGGACGTGGATGGAGATAATAAGATTCGTAAGAGCCTTGAATCAATACAGCTCGTAACGTCTCTGAGGATTCAGTCAATGGAGACGAAACTCCATTGCGGCGACGATGAGGTTTGATGGAAAACCCTAATTTTCGATGAGAGGAAGGAGAGAGAGGAGACGTACTTCTCTGGTTAAAAACGCAGATTTTTGTAAACGACAATAAATTTGGGCCACCTAAATAAAAATCCCATTTCATATTCCATGGAAAAAAACGCAGCTTTTATTGTGTACGACACGTGGCAGCACGAAAATAATCTATTATCCTACGTGGACGAACGTGAGGGATTAAAAGCCAACTTTATATAATTAGATGCTTATCTATCCAAAAAATATCTGTTTTATCCTTTTCTATTTAGTTGGTTTGGTTTCACCGACTGATCTCTATATATATATGATCAACTCACGATCATATATAAGACAATAACAACAGCAATAATAATCAAAGTTTTTGATCTTTCTCGTGTCTTCATACACACACAATATATATATATATATATATTTATTCAGTTACAATACATACTTTCGATCCTATATCGATGAGATAAAATTTAATTTATCTAATCTAATAATAATTATTATTATAATTTATTATTGTTCTGAAGTAAGAGATTAAGTAATTTTTATTGATTTTTCAGGATGATAGACGTTGTCTTCTCCAACTGATTGTTGAAAAAAAATATACTTTCACGATCAAACGAATACATTGTAGGCTTTACCTCCTTGAATAAAAAGAAATATCACATAGATTAAGTCTCCTTGCACTTTGAATAAAAAGAAAAAGTTAACATGGTAGACTCCTTGAACTTTGATAAAAATGATCAACATATTAGATTATGTCTCCTCGGATCATGTGGAAAGCTAAACCTCTAATTTTATTGATGCTATTTAAATTTCTGCAATTTAAATTTGTGCAATTAAAATTTGTGCAATTTAATTTTTGCATTTAATTTCTGGATTTAATTTATATATTTAATTTCTGCATTTAAATGCTGCAACTGAAATTTTCATCTTTATTATAGTTTTATAGTATTATTCTATGAATAAAATTATCATATCAAATTTGATAAAACTCGAAATAAATACCCTAGATATTACGGAAAATAATTATATAATCTAGATAGTGGGTGCAAAGATGCACCTGAGAAGAAACGGGCTTTTGGAAACTATCGATAATACGAAAATAGTGTTTGATGATAAAAAGAGAAAAGCCATGATATTTTACGACACCACATATATGATGGTTCAAAAGATGAGTATATTACTGAAGAGAATCTTTTGGACTTCTGGAAATTTTTAAAAGACTGGTTGTTCGATCACCAGAAATATGTGATTGTATCGAAAACTAAACATGAGTGGATCAATCTCCTCTTCCAGGACTACAAAATTGTAAGTGAGTATAATAACATGATGTTCAAAATTAAGTCTAGGATGATGATATGTGGAGAGAAAATGGTCGAGAAAACTTTCTCCACGTGCCATCCTGGAAATGTAGTTCTGCAGCAACAATGCCGGACGAATGGATACACCCGTTA